CTTTAAGCATAGTAGACACTGCTTGAGCATATATACAACCGTATTGTTTATACTATGTAATTCATCTCAACAAAGTACTCTTCATGCTCTTTCCTATAACATTCTGTGTAATAATACTCATAATTAATGAATTACTCTTAAAATATCTAGTACAAGATCATTTTATTCATGATATATTAAACTGTTAGTTTTCTTATTCAAACCTATTCTATTAAAAGTTTCCTCTTCTTTCTACAAGCAGATTTCTTTTTAATGTAGCATTTATAATTTTGCATTTCACAGTGGTCTGAAAAGAAAGCTTCTATTCATGTTTGATAAAATCTAGCATTACCGCCAAATTATTCAGTAAGTGGCAGAAAAGCCTAATTCACCATTGAGGGCTGTATCTCTATTTTTTAATAATCAATTTTCAACACCAAAAACCAGAGTTTGGCTGGCTTCAATGCATTATTGTTTTCAATGTAATTTTTTGTCCTCTGTTGTATGAATTGCACAGAGCAGCTTTACATACTTTCACTGTGATTAAATTCTGGAAAAAGAAGCTTCTAGAAGTCCCAAAAATGTTTACTACTTATGATTTACTACTCCTTATCACCATTCCAATCTGCCTTCCAATCACTGTTCTACATGCATGTCTTATACTTGGGGTTGGTATTATTTTTTTTTCCCTGGATCTTAGTTAATTTTGTTTCCTATGCCTTGACTATCCTCCTTGTATAAGCTTTACCTTGAGAAAATCAGTTCCTGTCTTAAATTTTTCATCTTCTATGGAGTCTATGATCTTTCATTTAAGTGAAATATTATCCCCTTGAGTCCACACAACAATTTCTGGCTTCCTTATTGAATTTATGGCATATGCTTACTTTAATAATAGAGGCTGAACTCAGCTTCAGGAGGACTGATTTTCCCCCCCTCTATCTCTCCTCTACAGCACCTAGAATATTACATTGTATTAAATTAGTTTTCTGCAAAGAACTCTCGTTCCTAATCTAGATAATCTAGTGATGGTGTATCTATCCACAGAAGGGTCCTACAGAGTTCTCAGAGACCTGGAGAATCAAACTGTGGGATACCACAGTTTCCTTCCATCCCAGAAAGGGTCCAACCTCATCACAAAAAACTAAGAATTTGTGACACTGGGAAAAAAGGAAAAGAAGCTCTTGTTGGACTAAGTTTCTAGACTGATTCTAGAAATAGTTTCTATTGTTGGAATCTGTTCCCAGAAGTCTTTGGCATCAAGCTCATCCAATTTACCCCATCACAAGAAGTGCAAAGTTTTTCTCCAGGATATCTGTCAGCCACCAGAGATATCTTCCCATGTAGCTCTTTAAACAGTCCCATAAGACTCAGTTTGCTCTCTCTCAAACTTTCTCCGGGAATTTCAAGAGTTTAACAACATTCCCTAAATAGTCAATCTTCTCTCTGAATATTACACTTTCTCTGTTATTTCTTTTCTCCTACTTTCAATATACCATTGCTTTCTGCAGCTGTCTCAAGCGGGCGTTCCTATACTTTGCACAGCACAGAGCAAAGCCTAGGGGTGGACGTTGGACAGCTGTCTCTGAATTACTCCTACTAGAACATTGTTCTTTTCCATCCCCTAACTTTTCTTAATCCTGTAAAGTAAATTATAGGTATTTAAAGCAATCCTTTTACTGGAGGTTGTGTCACATATCTGGTCAAACCCATTTAGAAGCTTTCTTTCTAAACAGTCTGGAATAGATGCGATATTATAGCTGTGGCTACATTACTCACCCTAATTTCTACCAGCCTTTTTTTTCAGTCACACAGCTTCCAATATCCTTCCCTCCCACTTTAGAATTTTTACAATGGAATGCCCAGATTACTCCTGCCCAAGAACTGTATTTTACATTTTCTTTCTAAAAATCTTGCTTGTTGAAACTGAGGAGGACGCGAAACACTTGCTGAAGAAAGTCAAGAACTGCAACCTTCAATATGCATTGAAGCTCAACATCAAGATAACAGTTTCTCATCACTGAGCTGATTGGCTGTATCATGATAGACAGTGAAGTGATTGAGATTGTTAACAGTTTTAGTTTGTTTGACTCCATATTAAATACTCTTGGTACCAGCAGCCAGAAAATCAAAAGATTAATTGCTTTGGGAAAGGCTGCTGTCAGGGACATATCCAGAGAACTGAAGAGCAATAATATCTGTCCAGAGACTAAGGTGCATCTGATGCAGGCCATCATCCTTGCAATTGCCATGCTATGCTTCAGAAAGCTGTACAATGACTAGGGATGATAGAAAAAGAATTGATCCCTTTGAGCTGTGGTGCTGGAGAGGAGTACTGAATATATCATGAACTGCTAAGAAAACAAACAGGTTCATCCTAGAGAGAGGTAAACCAGGCTGCTCTTTGGAGGCAAGGATTCTGAAGCTTCTTCTGACATACTTTGGACATGTTACAAGGAGGGAACAATTGTTAGAGAGGGACATTACGCTTGGCAGGGTGAAGGGACAGCGCAAGAGAGGAAGACCCTGAATGAGATGGACTGACTCAGTGACTGGAGTAATGGGAGTAGGTATATCAGAGACAATAAGGTTGGCTCAGAATAGAGCAGTGTTTAGAGCTGTTGTACATAGGGTTGCTATGAGTCACAGGTGACTCAACAGCTCATAACAAAAACAAAAACATGCATATTTCATACCTTTTATTTTAAAACATTATTATTAAAAATAATTTCAGAAAAAGAAATAATGTTATAATTGAAAGTCTGTACTGTTCTGGCCTCTAATGTATCTTCTTTACACCCCAGGATTTTTTGAGATTCCTTGAGGTTTGCCTAAAATTTAAAACAAAACAAGGAGCAAAGAAATCCAACACCTTATGACAGTCATATAAAAGTACTAAGAAAACAGCATTTAATTAATTATTCAATGTTAAATATACTAGATAATGTATTCTCATATCACGGCAAAAATAAAGGCTAAAATGTGCTTATTTTTTACTTCATTTCAACTCATTTGTGTTGTTGTTGTTGTTATGTGCTGTCAAGTCACTTACAACTCATAGCGACCCTAGGTACAACAGCCCTAAACCCTGCTCTATCCTGTGCCAATCACACTGCCTCAGACACACCTAACCCAATTACCCCATTACTGAATCAGTCCACCTCAGAGGGTCTTCCCCTCCTATGCCGTCTCTTCACTCTCCCAAGCATGATGTCTTTCTCCAAGGACGTGTCCCTCCTTACAACATGTCCAAAATATGTCAGATGAAGCCCCGGAATCCTTGCCTCCGAGGATCAGGCTGGTTTAACCCTGTCCATGATTAATCTGCTTGTTTTCTTGGCAGTCCATGGTACATTCAATACTCTTCTCCAGCACCACAGCTCAAAGGCGTCAATTCTCCTTCTATCCTCCCTAGTCATTGTCAAACTCTCCAATGCATAACAAGTGATTGCAAAGACCATAGCCTGTATCAGACGCACCTTAGTTTCCAGAGTGACACCATTGCTCTTCAGTACTTTGGAGAGGTCCCTAACAGCAGACTTTCCCATTGCAATACATTTTTTTTATTTCCTGGCTGCTGGTGCCAAGAACGTTGACCATGGAGACAAGCAAATTAAAGTTGTTGACAATCTCAATCTCTTCACCATCCATCCTGATGTCAATTGGTCCAGTGGTGAGAATCTTTGTCTTCTTGACATTGAGCCTCAATACATACTGACGGCTGCAGTCCTTGACCTTCTGGAGCAAGTGTATTAGGTCCTCCTCAGTTTAAGCAAGCAGGGTTGTGTCATCTGCATAATGCAGATTGTTAATAGATCTTCCCCAATCCTGATGCCACACTTCTCCTCATAGAGCCCAGCTTCTCGGATAATCTGTTCTGCGTACAGGTTGAAAAGGTATGGAGATAGGACACATCCCTGGCGTACACCCTTCCCAATTTTGAACCATGCAGTGCTTTCCTGCTCTGTTCTGACAACTGCCTCTTGGTCCAAGTATAGGTTTCGCATTAGCACAATCAAGTGTTCTGGGATTCCCATTCTTCTCAGAGTCAGCCA